CCTGTTGTGCTTCATAAGGTTTTCATTGGCTAACTTTTGGAATTGGATAGCTAGGCCTTTCTTCCTAGTCTGTCTTGGTCTGGAAACTCTGCTGAAATCTTTGGTGAACCTGCTGGTATTTGAAATACAGGCGGCATAGCTTCTAGCACCATAGCAATATGCAAGCTACCATAGCTCAACAAACTGACAGATGTGTGGTGGATACATTTTAAAGAAGGTATGTATTATTATGGGAGATTGAGAAGACAATATTTTATCAAGATGTCTTTCTTTGGTGAGCAAACAGATTTTTACTGTGTTTAAAACATGTTTTAATATCTCTGTGTTAATAGGTCATGTGCTTTTATGAAAAAATTAAGTGAGATATCATGTCATTTCCACATTTATATTATTTTAAAATTAATTTTTTCCTTTTATTAAAATACAATAGGATAGATAAGCTGGCTGATCAATCAGTGGAGTTATCAAACATTTGCTACACATTCATGTTTGGGGAGGAAAAGGTAGTGCACATTTTTTAAACTGTAAGTGTTTGTGGAAGATAAAGTTTTGTACAACTTATTCAACAGCCAGGTTAGTAAAAATATAATACACTGTTAGTATTGTTCTTTAATAGGTGAGCTTATCTCCTGTAATGGCCAAATGATGTCATTGGTATTTCCTTTAGCTAATAACAGTATGCTGTATGCCACAAATCATTTCAAGGAACCAAATGTCATAAAATAGAGTGTAAGGTTTTGTATTACAGCTAAGGTTAAGAATAACAAAATACAATGTTATGGATATAATTACTTTAGTCTCGTTTGTGTGGGTTATATTGCATTCTTCTGACATTCTAAGTCAGACAAATAATTATAAAAGTAATTCAGCAGTATTTCTATACTTTGTTTTCAGTGATAAAATTTATATTTAATATCTAAATCTAATAAAATGAAACCTTAGAACAAGTTATTATAATTTTGCTGAATTAATAGCATGGACAATTTAAGGTAATTTTTTCCAATGGAAGCCAAGATTAGAGCCACATGGGAAAAAACTGCATTGGAGACTTATATTAAACAAGAACCACCCTCTTTGATATTGCAGAAGTAAGTGGCTATGTCATTATTCTTTCACATATTAATTTTCTCTTCCCTTAAAGTCCATAATGAGAAATTAGTCCCTGTCCTTTAAGATATGACGAATTCTGAAAGTATAATACAAAAAAAAGTTAATTCCTTCTTCTTTCCTTATATTCTATGAAGCCTTCAAATATCAAAGTCCAATGTTCTTATAATTTTTTTTTATTCATGACATTTTGATGGTATCATAGCTGTTAGAAAGAAACAGAAGAAAATGACGGATGTGTAAACTCATTTGTAGTATATTGTATCCTCTTTTAGCTTCTAAACAAAGCTCTATAACAACAGTTTCTCTCTCATCATTATAGAATAAGTTGAAGTGTTGGGAAAAGACAATAGAGATTCAAATCCCAAGGGATGAAGGAGGCTGGATTAGCTCATATGTAATGTACATATTTTACCATTAATTTCACAAATGCACACATTTAAAGCTATAAACACTGTTTTGGCTTTTGGCTTGCATTCTCAGGTGAGAGTGTGCTCTATAAATGAGTGAATACATACACTAGGCAATGAATGAACAAATGACTTAATGAATAAATAAATGAAAGAATTATTTTGGAAATCATGAACTCAAAATTAATGCTTAGTTTTCCATAACAAAGATTTTATATACTATATTTCTGAGGAATGAGTCTGGAAAAAGAACCATCTAAATTTTAGTACACATAATGGTCAAGTTACATTACATTATTTCTGGGACAAGGAGTCGGGTGCAGGGATGGAAAGGAAAATAAGAGGAAACCATATTAAAGATGAAGGAACTCAGTAGTATAAGATGAATTTAAGGATCTCATAGGGGAATATCACAAAATTATATATCCAGCAAGGGTTGTTTAAAGATCACATTAACTTGACATTATAGTCTTTTGTATGCTTTTTTTTTGTGGAGGTTTTTCCTTTTCTTTGCCTCCAATGAATTCGAAATGCAACAAGCTTATTAGCCTGGCCCTTATGTCTCTTGTTGGTCCCCAGTTGGCCAATGAGAAGGCTATTTTAAATGACTGACCTCACACCTGGGTATTTGTAGCCCTTGGGGGTATAAGCTGCCATCCATTTTCTCCCCTGCTTTGCTGCTTGTAAAGACTTGCCTCTTTGCTGACTGTATAGAGATTAATTTGATCATTCCTTGCTTATGAGAATAGGTTACCAGAAGCCCCACGCCTATTTTACATCTTACTGGTATGGCGGCTGACTTTGGACTGTAGCCTGGTTTTTTGTCTTAAGCCTTTGAAACGTATCTTACATACTAGTGTTTAACTTGGAAATTTATTTTTAACCTAGATTATTTAATTTATTTATGTAAAGTCAAAAAGCCAGTAATAAAAATTTTTAGATTCTTGAAACTAATACGTGTTGTTTTAGATGGAGATTCAAATCTAAATTGGGTGACAGTTTGATTTTTTTTCTCAGAAATTCCATGAAATAACACTGAGTATATAAGACACCATTTTGATATATGATTGCATTTTGCCATGTGTAGCATGCTCTTAAGCTTACTTCTGAGAGTGTTTAAATTATTCTTATAGATGTTTTTTTCCAAAGGAACATTAGTACTAAAAAGAGCTGTTGATTCTTTAACTTAAATGTACTGACTTTTAAGTCAAATCACGCAATGTCTTTATTAATTTTTCCTTCTCAACTCTTAATCTGTCATTGAGAAAACAGTGGTTTTGGCTATGGAATTATAATACTGGCGTTTTCTGCCCTAGACTGGCTCTGCCTGGAACATTAGTTGATTTTCAAATTATCTTTTAATGAAAACAAAAATATATTTTGAGGAAATTTCACTCAAAAATTTCTAATTTGTTGAAAAATTTTAAATTTATGTCTTGCCCATCTAGCTCATCCTTACATAAGCTTTTCCTTTTTAATATTTGTCCAGCTGCATACTTATCATTTGTATTCTTTTCTGATGTGTCTAAAAATAAGGCAACCTAAAACTCTAGTCCACATGAACCAAATGAAAGAAAGACATCCAGAAAACCTAGCTTCATAGAGGTCAAAGTGTTTCAACTATAGACAAAGTAATATCATTTATTGTTTTTTCCCTGCCTTAGCAATATCTGAAAAAAGAATATGACCATGAGACCTCTTAACTAAAACTTGAACCAGAAAATAAAATGTTCTCCTTAAAAATCTTTTAAAAAATGGTTTGTAATCAATACCTCATATATCTTTCCAGGGTACTAAATATAATTGTGCTGATTTTTGTGTTTGATTTTATTATCATAAATAAAAATATTGGCAATTGATTTTATCTGGAAGGTTAATCCAAAACAAGAATTGTGTTTTACTATGCCTTTCTTACTTTTGAGAAAGTGTTATTTTTAGCATTTTGAATGCACTTTTGAAGCTGAATTTGGTAGAATTGAAACAGTATGGAACATTGTTTAATCCTTAAAGGAATCACAGACTGAGAAGTTTAGGATAGAGATACAATAGTAAATACACATTTTTGTCTGTGAAGATGTATAAACAACTAATTTCTTTTATAAGGATCGGCACAAAGCTGGTTCCTGTGAGGCGGGGGTTAAAGATGTCCCAAATGTTCAACTTTTCCAGGCTACTGTACCACTCCATTGTCTCTAACATTGACTAGTCCCTCTCTGCCTCCCTCAGTACTCTCCTTCCTGTCTTTGGGTTCCCTAATTCACTGGAGCTTCTTACAGAAACTCAGGAACCATATAAAGGAAATGGCTCACGTGGTTGTGGAAGCTGGCAAGTCCCAAATTTATGGGTCAGGCATAGACTTCTCCCTGGCCCTTAGCCTCTGCCCAAAGGCACTCAGCTTTCTCGTTCCATGGGCCAGGAAGGCCACTATGCTGTCTCCTGCAGGTCTTTCCCGTGGATCTCTCCTTTCTTGGTGGTGGTGGGCTCTTTTCTCTGCTCTGAAATTGGCTCTGTTTTAAGGCAAAACTAGCCAATCCTCTTGGTGGGCCACAATTATCTTATTTGCACAGTCCAGCCCAATCACCTGGGTGGGAGTTACAAGACCGTGGTGAGAAAGCCCATACTAGGTAATTCATCACACCACATTGTATATACTAGATTTTGACAATAAATAATCTAGGTTCTTCTTTCTATGTTTTTGATCTCCTTAAAAAACGAAATAAAGCAAAACTGCTAAAATAGAGCATTTTGATACTATTACAAATGTAAAGGAAGAAAAAATTTGAAATTTTAAAGTTCTTTGTTTCTAATTATTATTATTTTTTTTGGTGGAGAACAAAATTTTGTTCTAACAATAGATCTCAGTAACAATGAAATACCAGAAGTTGGTCAATTGAAAGTTCAAAAGAAGTTAATAAAAATACCATCTATCCAGTGCTCCAATTATCTCTAACACGGCTAAGCCAGGTATTGTTTCTGGTTTAATTTGAAGATGTTTTTTTAAAGATGTGTGTTACATTTCTAAACCAACGAGTACACTTTAAAACACATAAAATGATGCTTTTTGAAGAGACACTTAAACTAAAATTAAATTTAGGACCTGGTTTACTCAATTGTATAATTTCTACTGTGTGGCATTAGTAACTAGGATATACTCAGCACTGAAGTTCTTTGTGTGAGCAACAAAAGCACGCAAAATCCTGAGTACTGTGACAAGCTCCTTATTTGTATGCCCAGATGGCATCCTGCCTTTAAGTGATGCTGTCTTCCAGTACTGGCCCTAGATGACCAATGCCACAAGAAAATGGGAGAGGGCTTCCTTGTCTTTACTATATGTGTGCGAAAAGTGAATATAATCATTGCATTAATTGTTCGCCAGCTCCAAATGTTCATTAAAAAAACCCACACTAAACTCCCTTTACTTTCAGTAATCAAAAGGATTCTTTACAGATTTATATAATACACTAAATCACTATATGCATGGCCTGTTTCTACAAGTTCCAAGAAGAGAATATTTAAGCTAAAAATGAACCAGAATTAATTGATGGGGCTGCATCAATCTTTCTTCTTTCCTTGGTCCTTGGATTTCCTTAAATGATGGCATCATGTTCATCAATTGTTCTATATCGAATGCCTCTTCTGGAATAATATGTTTTGCATCCAATGTAAAGAATAGATAGAACTCCCAGTGTTAATACAATACCACCAACAAAGCTGCCAATATCAAATTTTGATCCTTTATTTTCTTTAAAATTAATACTCGTTGTTACTGATGAAGAAACAGATGTCACCGAACTATTGTGGGTCATTGTGGATGTTAACATCTGAGATGTGCTTTGTGAAATACTTGTTCTGTTGGGGGCAGGCTTTACGGTGGTGGAAGTTGTAATTGAGATGTTACTTTGGGTTTCGAGGTGGTAACTGACACGTTGCTTGAGACTGAGGAAACTGCAGTTGTTGACAGTTTCACAGTGTTGGAAGATGCGTTTTTATCGCTGGAAAGCACTTGTAGGGGATTCCCTGATGAATTGGCACTGGAGTTTTGTGGAACCACAGACCTGTTTTCGCTTGTAGACTCCGCCGACCCTGAGCTGTCCACGGCTGTCCCCAGCAGCGCTAGCACCTGCAGCGCCCCCAGGAACAGCGCGGCCCAGACACCTCGCGCGCCGAGTCTCATTGTTCCGAGGGCAGGACGTGGCGGCCGCGTGAATCCCAAACCGAGGTGGCGGCAGGAGAGGGTGGCCCTGCCGCACTTCCGGCGCCCGATCCGCGTCCCCTTCCGCCGCACGCGACTTCACTCCCGCGCCTGTCCCCCGAATGACCAAATAGGGCGCGGGAGCCGGGTCTGGAGGGGAAGACGCACGCCGAGCCCGGGTCTAATTATTCATTATTTTAAAGAATTGGCTTTGGACATTAAAAAATTACCTGTGCTTTTTCATAACTTTGTACTTCTGTAAGCATGTGCTGTAAATATGGGTTGGGTTCACTAGTGAGAGAGATAGAATAGGATGTTTTTAAAAAACTTTTTGAGATAATTGCAAAAATTATGCAAAGAATTCCTGTATATGCTTCGACCAAATTCACTAAATGTTAACATTTTGCCTTTCACCACAGTTGTGCTTTCCTTTTCCTTCTCTCTGAAAACAAAGTATATTCCCTTACATAACCACAGTACTATTATGAAAATTAGGAAATCAACAGTGATAAAATATTTTTATTTCATCTTTAAACAGGACCTACATAATTAATAAGACTGAGTGCAAACTGATAATTGGGGCCCTGGCAAGATAGCTGTTTCCTCTTCCCATGAGTCCACACCCCAACCTACTGTGGACAGGTGACTTCCAAGGGATTGCTACTTCTGTGCTCAGACTTACTACAGATCTGGATCAAATTTGGGTGAGAGGCACTCACGGAATATGATATGGTACTGCCTCCCTGGGGCCAACACAGCTACCTTCTTGCCCTGCCTTCCGATGATACAGGGTGAGCACCCAGCCCCAGCTCTTCCTGAGCCTGGCCTAGGCATCCACTCTGTGAGCAGAGCGCAGAGGCTGTCACAGGCTGGAGAGGAGGATGTCAGGCAGGACCTGGGATTCCACGGGGTGGGAAGTGGGCGACTGAGAACCTGTCCTATGGAAATAGTGGGAGATGGGACCATGCATGAGCCAAGACTCCAAGCCCGCTGCACGTGCTCCATTGCCCCAGCAGACTTCATTTTCAAA